ACAGTTCTTTGTTTTTATTGGCTAATAAGCCAGAGATATATAAGCTATATATCTCTGGCCAGAGATGCCTAGAAATTCCCTAACCGAATCGGCCGAAATATCATTCGGCTAAATTTTACCAGGTGTTTCAGGAATTATGATAATAGCTGTAAAGTTAGTATTTTATCTACCCGGTCTTTATAAAATTTTTTTTTATCTAGTTACAGCTATTTGCATAATTCCTGAAACACCGGGCCTGGGCCGGGCTCATAATTTAACGGGCCGGGTACAGGTTTAGGCAAACCCGGCCCATTCCGGACCCTACCAGTGATTTGACCAACTCTGAATAAATGATACTAGCTAATCGATCGAATTAGGGCTAGCATGTAGCCCTAATTTCATTCCAAAAATCAGCATATGCATCAAAAATTCACATTCGAATTGTCTACAAAAATTTTTTAATATAATTATAGTTATGCAATATCAGAAATGGGACAAAAAAAGTTTGGGCGTTCAAAAATGTACAACAATACCTGCGGGTAACCCAAGTACGTAGCACCTACAGGATCCAATCACTAATTGTTAATATATCTAAGCGTAACAAGACAAATTTAAAAGGAAAAGTCTTGAGGAACTAGTAAAACTTTTGCTAGTTCCTTAAGATTTTTCCTTTTTTACTTGGTTCAATTTAATTTGTTGAAACTAATAGTGCCAAACTAGGTTGAAATCGTTAAAGACAAAATCGGGTGGGTATCTAGATGCACTAGCTGGGACCGTTACTGACGCGTCTTTGACTTATGTATTTCGATGCACTAAATATGGCAGGGCTGCTGTTAAGAGTTAATAAGACCCTGCCTTTATTCAGAACTGCATAACAAATACAAATTAATAATTTAAACTTTATAATCTCGGTATGCCCAAATAATAACCATTTAAATCTTTTTAAGGTTTGAAACAAAATATTCCGGGGAATTACTACATTACATACATAAATGTTATTACCGAACTCGTGGCATATTTGAATCAAGTAGGAAGGATCATCTTAAATTTTAACACTTCTCACATTAACTTACGTTCGTATCTAATACGCGATACATTCCTTCTCATATTAAGAGATCTTACCATGTTTAGACGATCCAACTTCAAATACCTAGCATTAACCTTGGTTGTAATATACCTCCTTCATTGGTTATTTACAACATTCGAACCACAAATAAGCTTTTCTGAATCACCATCGCCTGATTTGAAGATAGTTCCATTACCACCAAACGAAAAGTTTCCAAACGGAATTCATGGGCATATTAAACCAAATGTTACCAGACAAATAGGAAAAGCGAAGGCATGCTTTGTAGTATTGATTCGAAATAGTGATTTGCATAGCTTTAGACCGACGATGAGACAACTCGAAGACAGATTTAATCGTCACTATAACTATCCATACGTGTTTTTGAACGATGTCCCGTTCACTGAAGAGTTCAAGACACTTACAAGTGCTCTAACTAAAGCAAAAACTGAGTATGGTAAACACGTTTAAATATTAATATTAAAAATAATCAAATATCATTATCGTTATTAAATGTGTTATCAAATATATTTTATCATCAGGATTGATTCCGGAAAAACACTGGAGTATTCCGAGCCATATAGATAAGGACCTCGTCGATCAAAATTTAGAAAAAATGAGAGATGAAATATTGTACGGTGGTAGTTTACCTTATCGTCATATGTGCAGGTAAGTTAACTATTGTGCTCCTTTCACAACCACTATTTATCCTAACATAATTTATTTTTTTTATTCAGATTTGAATCCGGGTTTTTCTTTCAACACGAATTGTTGGATAAATATGATTATTATTGGCGCGTCGAACCTGGTGTTCAATTCTATTGTGATATCGACTTTGATCCATTTGTCTATATTAGAGATCATGATATTAAATATGGTAATTACCTTTTACATTTTCTTTTTAATCTAACATTTTTGTAGGGTGTTATGCTAACAAATAATTTACAATTTTTTTAATTTTAGCTTTCACTGTTTCACTATACGAATACCCAAAAACTATACCTACTCTTTGGGATACCGTCAAAGAATTTATTGAAAAATATCCACAATACATTGAAAAAGATAATCTAATGGATTTTATATCAGATGATGACGGCGAAACGTATAATTTGTATGTTTTCTAGAAATTTATACTGCGCATCAAAATCTCTTTCAACTACACTCTCTTGCATGAATAACATTGAATTTAATTAACTTTTTAGATGTCATTTTTGGTCAAACTTTGAAATCGGTGACTTGAATTTTTGGAGAGGTGATGCATATACAAAATTCTTTAATCATCTCGATAAAAAGGGTGGATTCTTTTACGAACGGTTAGTCTTTTACCTTAATTATAATAAAATAAATAATGGAACACACCGTCAGTTTAAAATAAAATGATTCTAAATCTGATTAAAGAATTAATCATTTAATCATGAATAATGTGCTCTTCTATTTATTACACTCCGTACTAATTATTTTCTTTTATTTTATAATAGTTGGGGGGATGCACCTGTTCACTCAATAGCTGCCGCTCTTTTCTTGAAGAAACACCAAATACACTTTTTCAATGAAATAGGGTATAAGCACGAACCTTTCGTTCATTGTCCTAAGGATGAAAAGTTACAGCTTAAATGCCATTGTAACCCTGATGACAGTTTTGGTAAGATAATTAAAAAAAAACTTTATAATCATTTTTGACCATCATTAGAATATAGTCTAATTTGACTCATTTTATAGATTTTGATGGATATAGTTGTACTGGAAAGTGAGTATTTTATATAATCAATTAGTATTTATTCCAATTTTCAATATTTAATTCCTTATTAACATATTCTATAAATCACTTTTTAACAGGTTTCTCGATTTGGTATCAAAATCGAAGCTTAAAAAATTTCAGGGTAATATGTAATGTTTTTAGTGGGTATCAAATCAAAGCGTTATATAGACTTGTAATATTTAATTTTAAATAAGTTATTTCAAGGTTGACATTTTTTTCATTTTTTTGAAAAACAAAATATTATAATGGATTATCGTAAGTTATATAAAAGCATCTGTAAAAGTTGAATAGAATAATTAAATTATTTAAATAATGAACATTGTAATACCGTAAACAATTAAATAATTTGTAATTTAATCTCTTTTTATAACTAGAGATTATAACAGCTGATTTAACAATTTTACTTAGATTTATTTAATTTCCAAACTCAATTTGCCAGACTGAACTTATGATTTACCTTATATTTTATTTTGTTACAACTTCGTTAGTTTATTTAAATATTAGTTTTTTAAAAAGTCTTTTGCAGTCAGACCTCATTATAATCGCTTCTAATTCGTTATAATCCTTTGTCCTAGCTATTATAAACCATATGAATTTTGACCTTCATATAGTCACAACTTTTTATCATCACCAAATTTTTGTTTCACAACATGGTAATTATACCAAGGTCTGACTGTGCTTTATTATTTTTCAAGCCAACAATCGAGAAATTGACAGAACAAGCTGGGACGTCCAGAGCAAGGCCAAAAAAGCTTGGACAGCCAAATGTACAACACTGCTATCGCCTGCACAATAAGTTTTTCAGTTGTTTAAACTACTTAATACAATAAGTTTTTCATTTGTTTAAACTACTGTATTTGTATCAATACAATATACTTACAATTCTTGTGTTAAAAGGTATTAACTACATTTATGAGATGTTAAAAGAGTAAATCAATACAGGTACTCTAAGTAAAAATGTTCAAAACCCCAAAAACCTTACAAAAACTGAAATTGGGACCTATCGGGACCTTATGTCTAATATATATTATATAATAAAAAACCTCTATTTATCTTAAAACCGGACCCTAACCCTAAGTAAAACTATATAGGTGTTATAATAATAGTGTTATGAATATAATCTTCCTATATTATTTTATATATATATGGGCTAGGTGCTGGGAAAAGAGACCAAATTGACATTTTTTCAAAAGTAATTTTTTTATATAAATTAATTTAGAATAAGATTAGGATCATTTTTTACTTAAGATACATAAGTAGTTATTTTAATAAA